AAAATATTATTTTTTTTATTTTTTTAAAAATTAAAATAATTTAATTTTATATAAAACACTACTTTGGGTTTTAATTAAATTGTCAAATTATATTTTTTTAATCATAATAAGTAAACACCTGTACATTAAATAAAAATGTCAACCCGTGTTGAATTTGTTTACTTATATCATATAATAATATCGATATTATTTACTATTACATAAGCAAAAAAATATATATCTTAAGTAAATAGAAATATTATGGTGATATGTATATGCATAAGTGTAGAATATGTTTATTTAATATTATGAAAAATATTAATTGATAAATAATTTTATTTTCTAATTAATTGTAATAAATAATTTTATTATTATTATAAAGATAAATATAATTTATTTATTTTATATATACAATATGTATATGAAAATGTCAACCCGTGTTGAATTTTTTTACTTATATCATAATAATATCGATATTATTTACTATTACATAAGTACAAAAAGATATATCTTAAGTAAATAGAAATATTATGGTGATATGTATATGCATAAGTGTAGAATATGTTTATTTAATATTAAGCAAAATATTAATTGATAAATAATTTTATTTTCTAATTAATTTTAATAGATAATTTTATTATTATTATAAATATAAATATAATTGAATATATTATTATTTTTTACCAAATAGGATTCCAAAGCATGAGAATTTGCCACGTAGGCTCAGCGCATTCTGAGATTATATATAGAGGAGATATGACGTTGTTTAATTAATCAGGAAAGTATAATTTGTCTGTTAAATAACAAGTTTATCCGTATTTGGTGTATAAGTAATGTTGACCTGCTGCATGTATACTGGTGTTAAAAGAAAATGAATTCTAATTTTTGTAGCCCAAATTTAACCCTTTACGTTTTCGTCAATCATGATTACTTTTTGGTTTCCCACATCTTAAAAAGCAACAAGATAGATTAAGCTTGTTTTAGAGTACTCTTATACAAGTCTATTTAAAAATATTTGCAAAATTGACTTTTTCAAAAGTCTACATTCTCTGTTCAATAGAACAATTTTTTTAGCGAATCAACTTATTCATAAATTCATCCTAACTTATTACCAAACATAAATTGTTTATCAAAGTAATCTTTGGCATTCGAAAGCTTATTTAAAAAGTGTTTTCAAATACGTTCTAAGTGTTTTTGACGTGATCAATATAATCATTTTCTTAGATTTAACTTGAATTTTTACTCTGATAAAGTTGGACATAAGAACGATAAGTTATGGAAACATGTCCTTTTGGTACCCCAACTATCTTCTCTTTTCATTTTTGATACCTTATTTATTCACTTAATTCTTTTATAAAATTTATGTTTGGCTTCGCCTATCAATTTTGGTACAACTCGTTAATAAACCGTTTTTGACTGACGGCTGACCGATTATAACAGGTGGGAAGTTGTGTTAAAAGGAAAAAATTGACCTCTTGTCCGATTATAACAAGTGGAAAGTTGTGTTAAAAGGGAAAAATTGACCTCTTGTCTGGTGCTAGCAAAAGAACTCAACTTTCAACATAAAAATTTCAAAAAAATAAAATAAAATAAACAAATAAATAAAAAATGAAAGGCACATCCCAAACCACTTTCAACTGGGAGTTTGATTGAATATGACAACGAAAAATCATCTCAAATAAATTGTTCAAAGGCACAAGATATAAAAACAAATTGTTCAAAGGCAAATGTAAATGCACCGCAATCATCCCAAAGTTATGCAACATCAAATTCTCAAAATGTTTGCCACAAGACATCAAAATAACATGAAAATGCATCTAGAACCCTCGACATAAGATCGCTGCAACTAAACTCCTCATGAGATCGTAACTGATGTAGCATCCAGAATAGCTCGGCGGACTGACCTGAGTGGTTAGCTCGGGGTAGGTCGGTCCAGAGGAGCTCAAGAAAAGAAGTTAACCCAGTCAAGGAGCTTGCAGACGCAGCTCAAGGTACTGGACGATCTAATAAGACGACCTGGAAGTAACGACCTCTAGGAATACGGATACAAAGAGTGGCCTCGAGGTTTCGAGGTCGCAAGGTGGAGAAGTCGGGTATCGACCTTGGCCAGGTCTTGTAGCAGTGAGGTGAGTATGTGGTGAAGGCCTAGGGACCTTAGGGCTATGTGGTGAGGGAGAAAGAATCCTAAAAGGATGGAAAGTATAGCTTGCTAAGGAGACTTGCTCGGATAGAAACGTGGTAAACTAGGAAAGAAGATTTGGTTAGGTCTCTTTCCCAGCAAGGACTCTCTTGACCATCAAAGCATCCACCCTATATGAGAGTAACCAGGTTTTATGTTATTATTATCGCACTTATACACATTAAAGTTCATATATCTCAGATTATTCTCGAACCAGTTCTGATTTGAGCGTCAAAGTGTCTACGCTGAGACCCCTTCCTGATGCATCGTAGGTCGAAGGAGCTAGAGAATGGAGAACGTTCGAGGATTGATCGATTCTACTCAGTTCATGACAAATTGGCATTGTTTATGGAATACTCTAGTCTATTACTGGTTATAAGGGGCTGATCATTTTTTCTCACAACAAGCTTGTCTTTTTAAGACCATGGTGATGTATAACTCAGAAGAAATACTACCAGCTACACACAACATTGACTCTGGTGGTTAACGCATTATAGAAACTGCTAAAAGGAAAAAAACAGACAATCATCCAACACAGTGCAAAAACCCAGAAAGAATAGGGACTGGTGGCAACCCAGAACGTCGGTGATTGACAAAAAGGTAAATCGGAGATCGATCGTCCTCAGGAGAAAATCGAGGGACGACTGTTGAAGGTCTGGATGTAGGATGCTTCGTGAGAAAGTGTTTAGTTGATAACAGACGGTCAAGCGGGGAAAGACTCCCTTAGCAGCAAGACAGGGACCGATAAGGGTAAAGAGGTGATAGAGGAGGTCATAGAGGCCCAAGTCCTATCACCCAAGGGAACCCTGACGTTCGGGCCCGAGGACGTGCAAGGTGTTTCTAGGCTACAGAGCGACGCTCTAGTTATTACTGCAAAGGATGCAGGCTACGAAGTATAGAGGGTGGTCACGGATGCATGTAGTTTGGTTGATTTCATCTTTTTGCAGTGTTTAACAAAAATGAGTTGGGAAGTTAAGGTCGAGCCTGTTATTGCAACCCTTTATTGGTTTAATGGAGAATAGGTCAGAGCGGTAGGCGAGGTGTGCTTGTCAGTGGTGTTAGGCAGTTCATCTGTAAGGAGAGTCGAGAGCGTTAGGTTCTTGGAGGTGGATATAATCTCGGCCTACAAAGTCATTCTAGGGTTTTCTAGTTTAAATATATTATGGGCTATGGTTTCGACTTACTGCATGAAGCTTAAGTTCCCAGTTGGAGATCAAGACGGTGAGGTGGCGGGAGACCAGTGGCAGGCTAGGTCATGCTACCAGGTAATGTTGAAAACTTCAGAGGCCCAAGGAAAGAAAAAAAATCTGGAGGCAGAACAACCCCGGAGCTCTAACAGAAAGAAGCATGAAAAGATCGAGATCTCGTCACTAGATGAGATCATGGAAATTGACTTGGTGGAAAGAAAGGTCGGTAAGGTGACCTAAGTGGGTCAGTACCTCTTCGAGGATATTCAGGTCGCACTGATTTCCCTGTTAAGGGAGTTTGTGAATATCTTCACATTTTTAGTGGATGACTTGGCAGACATAAGTCCTGAAGTTACCGAGCACAGACTGAACATTTATCCGACGATAAAATTGGTAAAGCAAAAGTGAAGGCACTTCGGTGCGGAGCTAGAACTGGTAATCAAAGCAGAGGTTAACCAACTCTTGAAGGCAAGTCACATACGACCTATCTAATTTCTGGAGTGCCTGTCAAATTCGGCGATGGTAAAAAAGGGCGAGGGCAAATGACGGATGTGCATCGACTTTGGATACCTCAACAAAGCTTTCCCAAAAGACCACTATCCGCTATCCCGAATAGACCAACTCGTGGACTCTACGGTAGGCTGCGAACTGCTTAACATGATGGACGCTTCTCAAGGATACTACCAGAATACTACCCTTGGTGGTGGAAGACCAGAAGTGTGTAAGTTTCATGACGTCCAAAGGCAAGTATTGCTATATGGTATGGTAATGCCATTCTGACTTAAGAATGCAAGCACTACCTATCAGCGGGTGGTGGACATGATGTTCAAGGACCAATTGTTGGTTAGAATATGGAGGTCTACGTGGACGAAATTCTCGTGAAAAACTGAAAGGCCGAAAGAGTCGACGACTTAAGAGAGACTTTCAAGACACTGCAGACCTATGCCATAAAGCTCAACCCGACGAAGTGAAAATTCAGAGAGATCGGTGAAGTTTATGGGTTACTTATCATAGAGAGGGGGATTGAGGTTAATACAATAAAGGTGAAGGAAGTCCTCGAGATGCAAACACCTAAAATATTAATGGAGGTCCAAGTCCTCACATGTCGATTGGCCGGGCTGAGCAAGTTCATTGCTCAGTCTGTAGAAAAAGCTTCCCTTTTCTTTCATGCGATAAGAGTCTTTGATCGGCTTAAAGAGTTTTTTGCTGAATTACCATTGCTCATGAAGCCACCTATTATGACCATTGCTGAATTTCACATATTCAAACCACATAATTCGTCGATATGTTATCAAATCATATGATAACAACGATGTATAGCATGAATCCATAATCTAAATATTAACATAAGACCGAAAAAACATGATTTCAAAGCACATATGTAGAATTCCACATGAAATGACATGAAGAACCCTGATGGATAATTCACCAGTGATGAAATCGAAATTATAAACATGTAATTCACATATAAGATAGGCTCTGATACCAATTAATAGAAACTCATTCAATTTTAGAATTCTATTATTGATGAATGCAAATAATCCTTAGAGTTTCTAATCCAAAAATTCCTATAGCAAATTACATGAAATCGAAAGTCGGAAGCGTACCTGATGGATTCATGTCGATTGATTAGATTGGAACTCAAATTTTTCGAGATTGAAGTTCTTCCAAAGATTGTGATTCTTTTCTCTTATCTTTTAACGTAATGAAAAATTCCCTGTATTGAGAGAAGGGTGGCGGCTATATCTTTTTTTATGTATGAAAAAAGACCCTAGGACGTCTTTTATTTATCACGGTTTAAGGTATGCCACTATAAATTATTTATTAATTAGATCACTTAAATTTGATATTATTATTTGTTACGTCATAAAATAATATTGTTGGGTATCAACATTACATCATTCTTCATTTTAAATTAAGCTCTTTAGCCAATGTATCTATACTATAATTTGATCACTTAATTTGATCAAACAATATAATGATTCAATGTATTAATTACATATATTTAATTTCAAAATATATGTAAAAAAAAAAAATCATTTGCAATCTCACTTCCAATACTATTTTGTTTTTATGTAGACCTACAAGCAATGTATAACGATAATTTTAATATTATTTATACAATTTTAATAGTATTTATTCGTGCATCTTATGTACTATTATATATCGTACTAGTCCAAATTCCAATCAAAAGTTAATTTTGGTACAAGCTCGACTCGACTGACTTTTTGCAAGTTGTGTTTGGATCAGTGTTTTAAAACGCGTATAGTGTAATGTGTCATGTTTTTGTCTTTATACTGCGCAACGTAAATAGCGTTGCGTGTTGTGTAAGTTATTTGCGTATAAATTTATATGAATACTAATATACTTGCATATAATAAAATCGGATGGTTGATTCTAAAAATTATCATAATATTTGAATGAACTCAATATAATATCTAAGAATTATTTCTTACACATGTTTAATGAAAATATCATAATATAAATATTTATATAATAAAGCGAATATACTAAAAAGTAAAAACAAACAACGAAAATATAATAAGATAAGTCGTAATTTAATTTTACGCATATATATTGTAATTAATTTTTTAATTTAATTATAATTTGATTCTAACCAACAGATATGAATTTTTAATACTTAAATTTAAATGTCAAATACCCAAAATATAATGATATAATAGACCTGGACCAATATATATTGCACTATTCAATTTAGGATTTTGCTTTTTAAACTTTTAATTGAAATCATTATAAAAAATCTATAGTTTTTTGTCATTTAAAAATATAACTCTAATCACCAAAAATTACAAATTTTTTGAATATTTTATGTTTAAATGTCGTTGCAGAAATATAGCGCAAAATAACACAACATAACATGAAATAACATAAAAAATGTGTTATTTCAGCATTTCGCGTAAATTTTGCGAGAAAAACGCTAAATGTAAAAGTTACGTCTCCTTTTTTGAAATAAAAGTAATATAGCAAGCTAATTTAAAACAGTGGTTTAGATACACTCCAAAGTCAGCCCAACCCCATGCCATTTTAATTACAATCTCCCAATTGTAGTGGCATATGCTTCATTTTCTTCACCAAACATGTGAGGCTACTATATTCTTTTACCATCCCAATAACACATTAACATAATTATATTCATGCACAAGCTGGCACAATCCAACAACCTATTAATTGAAAAGTCACAATATTCCTTTCCAGTCAACAAGCGAGCATGATTAATGCAAAATTAAATCGATTCAAACCATTGAA